ACAAGTCAGTGAAGGTTAGGGGCAGGTGCGGCAGCGAGGGTTAGGGTGAGGTGTGGTTGAAAAGGTTAGGGGGAGTGCTGTAGGGGGAGGACTTTTGCGAGCTCTTACTGCTTAGTGGTTTCTGTAAGTTAAGGAAGAGAGAAAAGGGCTGTTTTGTGGCTAGTTGACAGGATAATAGAGAGTGAGCAAAGGTTGGTGAGAAGGATGTTTCGTGTTGCAGAGTGTAAGGAAAGAAGCAGGAAAAAAAGCAGGTTAGGTTGCTATGGCTTATAAGCAGTGAAAAGGACATGAGAAGGCGGGCGAGTGACTGGACTTGGAGAAGTACAGTTACAGGCAGCTCAAGGCTGGGCTACTAAGCACTAGAGCGGCGGCTTTGTGGTTAGCGGAGCGACCGGTTTGGGCTGTGAAGTAGTAGGGTTATGGAAGCGCAAAACGGCGGATGGTATAGGCTGTTTTTAGAGCAAACACTGGTAAGGGCGGCAGGAAGAAAGAAAGAGAGAGTAGCTAACCCCTGGTAGAGCGGGGCAACCGCAAGGGCGGCAGTAAGAAGTTAGGAGAGAGTGGGAGCAGGTAACCCGTGGTAGAGCAGGGCAACCGCAAGGGTGGCAGAGAGAAGTTGAAAGGGTAAGAGAAGGTAAAGGGAGGTAACCCGTAGTAGAGTAGGGCAAGCACTAGAGCGGCAGCTTTGTAACTGGCAGAGCGACCAGTTTGGGCTGCTGTTGTCTGAGTAGGCAGCGGGAACAAGACGCAGAAAAAACGACAGCGGTTCTAGGACGCGGAAGGGTTGTTAGAGGTGTGAGGAGTTGTGTTGAGTGTGCTAGCGAGAACAAGAAGAGGTAACAAGACAGAGAGGAGCCTTGTTACCTCTTCTTGTTCTCGCTAGCACACTCAACACATGGGGCTCCAAGCCATCTTTGATTGCAAAATGCACAATTTGTTCCTTGATTGGCTGCCCTCGTACCACCCCTTATTTGCCTCTCCAAGCCTCTACAACTGCATGGCTGCAACGTACAGGTGTAGTGGCCTCAGGTGCATCAGCTAGTCTAGTTAGAACCACCCTTGCGGCCAGTTCGCCAAGCATGATGCCTAGCATCGAGCCCATGACTACGGAGAGAACGCCTTCTCCAATCACAGACGGATGATTGCGAGCAAGGTTGTCTCGATCTCCTCGACCAAGCCATCAAGACTTCGTCAAAGGCAGTCACGAGCAGATCCGGCAGTTTAGTTCGCCAGGGAACTCGCGAGAAACGTATAAGGCGCTCTTCGACTCGCTCGGAAACGAGGCGAACGAGGCGGGAGAGGACAGGACGAGGCGGTCGGACGACGAGGAGTGGATTTCCCTCCTAGAGGCAGAACACGGCGAGCGACACATCGACACGAGAGTGATACGGATGGAGAAGATGGCGGTAGGTTTGTCGGCGACGATGGCAACGACGATTATGTCGAGGCGAGTGGAGGCATGAAAACATCGTCCGTGGGGTGTGGATGCTGAGGATCTTCTGAGGAGGCTGAAGAAGGTGGACGGGTTGTCAGATTTCAAGATCGCCAAGCGGTTACGGAGTAGATCGAACACAGTCAGCTATTGAACACTGGCGCATTATGTGCAAGGAGGGGAGAAAAACGTAGAGGGAGAAGAAGGTGGATCGTGTTTCTTAGTGGGATAATACTCTGTACTTCTGCTTGCTGATACAGTGATCAACATATCTGCTGGCCATCTCTTGATATCCTATACCATCTTCACCAACTGTGGCATCGATTACCTTGAGGTTTCGTACGCTCGCTGCCACTCCTCCTGATCCGAGTCTGTCATTCCACAGAGCTCATCAACCACCGGAAGATAAGATCACCATCGCTATCTAGGTATTTATTTGGACATAGTCCAGGGGAAGAGGCGGTAACCATGGCTGTGCCGATGACGTTTGATGCCAAGGACGCATTAGAATAATACTTCATATGCTCAGCACCACGTACCTGCTGCGGCTCTCTCGACCTCTTTCCCGGCTTCTTTTGAATCCTGTATGGTCTTCTTGCCCCGCCCCCTGGCGGCTTTCCCATGCTCTTCGTTTCTCGAGGCTTCCATGTTGGACTGCCGGCATGCCCAGACTGCCCCTGAGGGGGCTCGGATTGGGGGGCCGAAACGAAATCTTCATACCCGTGTGGGACTGTTCATGACAGTCGGTGTCCCAGGTGTTTCCCTCCTGGGAAGAACTCAGGACCCCATTCTGTCTCGTGATATGACGCTCTTTTGCAACTCGACAAGAGTTAAAAATTATCAAACCACAAGCCCATTGGATGAAATAGCCGCTGCTAGTGGCTCGAAACTTTCCGATGAGTCTGCAATACTACAACAAATGTGACTAACCGTGAATTAAAACCTTCGTATTCGCAATTGTTGGCATGTGAAGGTAGTGTGAGTACTGGGGCAGCCGTCCGCTCCAGATTACCGCAACAGGGCTAATGCCATCACCTCAATCTTCCAAGCAGAAGAGCAGGCTGGATTCGAAGGACGGCTGATTCTGCCACTCATCGTCACCGTTGTTTGGCCTTGACGGCTCCTTGTCACATGCTGCAGCTGGTGTGATTCGGCAGGCCCCACCACCAGCGGTTCATTGGTATGACAGATGACGGCGAACTTCATCACCATGGCCGCCGGCGTGGCGTTATCATGCCACAATAGATGCGTCAACAGACGGCGTCAAGCTTGGCAGCTGGGTGGACAAATGAGACCTTCTGGTAAATGAGAATGGCCCCACTTAGCAGGTATATAGGTCCTTGACAGCCGACAATCAAATCAAACACTTCCAACTTTGGTCCGGACAGCTTATGGTACGGAAAGTTCCTTTGATTGTGAGATGGATGTATGAAACGTCTACAATGGAACTTCTACAATGGCACACCTTCTAGAATATTAGTAGTGAAAATCTCCCTGTAGTTATACCAAATACAACTTTGAACTTTCGCACACGAAGCCTTTGATTGTGATTGAGTGGCTAGCTGAAGCTGAGGGGGAGCTTGTGTTTTGGTGCTAGCACATCATCAGTAGTTACCTCATGATGAGGCGTTAATATTATTTTATTAGAGGTGAAGCAATAAGTTGGCCAGGGATGAGCTCGGGCGCCTCGTTAGATCAAGAAGACGGTCCGCCAGATTTGTGGGATGGCTGAGGTCACATCCCCCTTGGTTGAGCACTAGAGCTAATATATTGCCTTCACACTAGGGGCAATCGAATGTCCACATGCTCCCCAAATCTTCCTCGTGTAGATAGAGGCGACCGCTTTGAAGTTGCACTCGCTGTAGTCGCTTTAACAGCACGTGCCGCAGTAGACGAGAAATCTCTCGTTGGCGTCCGCCAGGAGGCCGAGTTTCCCTACACCGCACTCTTCTACCAATTACTCATCGCACTCCCCTATTTCTGTCGCTAGTTGCGGCCACTTGGCAATCCATCCAGGTTCCTCCGTATAAGAACCTCCCCATAGCCTCGAAGCCTATTTCTCTGTTTTCACACTTCCTCCTTATTTCTATCTCTTCCCTTCTCCAAAGAGTTCTCAGACTATTTATCCTTCCCTATCTCATATATCCCCGATGGCCGAAGTCGAGTCAATACGACCCTTTGGCCCCGCCCGCTCTACCGTCAAGGGCGAGCCGCTCTCCAAGGAGGAGATTGAGCAGTACAATGACTTCTTCAAGGCCAGTTGCTACTTGTCCTTGGGTATGATCTATCTCAAGGAGAATCCCCTTCTTCGAGACCCCCTCAAAGGCGACCACCTCAAGGCTCGATTGCTTGGCCACTTTGGCTCTGCTCCAGGACAAATCTTCGCATACATGCACTTCAACCGTCTTATTAAGAAGCATGATCTGAACGCCATCTTCATTTCTGGCCCCGGCCATGGTGCCCCGGCCGTCCTCTCACAGTCCTACCTCGAGGGCGTCTATTCTGAGGTGTACCCTGATAAGTCCCAAGATATTGAAGGTCTGCAGAAGTTCTTCAAGAGCTTCTCTTTCCCCGGTGGAATTGGCTCCCACGCCACTCCAGAAACCCCAGGATCTCTCCACGAGGGTGGTGAGCTGGGTTACTCCATCTCACACGCTTTCGGCACGGTTTTTGATAGCCCCAATTTGATCGCACTTACCATGGTCGGTGATGGTGAAGCCGAGACTGGTCCTCTTGCCACTGCCTGGCACAGTAACAAATTCCTGAACCCTATTGTGGACGGAGCTGTTTTGCCCGTTCTTCACCTTAACGGCTATAAGATTAACAACCCCACACTTCTAGCTCGAATATCTCACAAGGAGCTCGAGAACCTGTTCCTTGGATACGGCTGGCAGCCATACTTTGTCGAGGGTGATGATGTTGAGACCATGCACCAGGCCATGGCGGCCACTCTCGAGCACTGCGTCGATGAGATCCGCAAATTCCAGAAGCAAGCCCGCGACAGCGGTGAGGCATTCCGACCTCTGTGGCCCATGATTGTGCTCCGAAGCCCTAAGGGCTGGACCGGTCCCCGCAAGATTGACAATAACTATCTCGCTGGTTTCTGGCGCGCCCACCAAGTCCCCATCACCGACCCGGCAACCAACCCCCAGCACCTTAAGATCCTCGAGGGGTGGATGCGCAGCTATGAGCCTGATCGCCTCTTCGACGAGTCTGGCAAGCCCACCCCATCCATCCGTGCTCTCTGCCCAGATGGCAACCGCCGTATGAGCGTCAACCCCATCGCCAACGGCGGCCAACTGAGGAAGCCCCTCAAGATGCCCAACTTCAAGGACTACGCCATCAAGGTCAACCGACCTGGCGCTGTCATGAACGCTAGTATGACCAACATGGCTAAGTTCTTACGGGATGTCATTGCGGCGAACCAGACCAACTTCCGTCTTTTTGGCCCTGATGAGACGGAGTCTAACAAGTTGGGTGGTGTCTATATAGCCGGCAAGAAGGTTTGGATGGGAGAGTACTTCGAGGAAGATGAGAATGGCGGTAACCTTGCCAAGGCCGGACGCGTTATGGAAATGCTTTCTGAGCATACCTGCGAGGGCTGGCTTGAGGGCTACATTCTGAGCGGTCGTCATGGTCTGCTGAACAGTTATGAGCCTTTCATTCACGTTATTGATTCCATGGTCAACCAGGTAGGCTCGCTCGCTTGAACACTATCCATTCAGTAATGCTCACTGTTTCCAGCACTGCAAATGGATTGAGAAGTGTCTCGAGGTCGAGTGGCGATACAAGGTCGCTTCTCTCAACATCCTGTTGACGGCTGTTGTTTGGCGTCAGGACCACAACGGCTTCACCCACCAGGATCCTGGTTTCCTCGACGTTGTGGCTAACAAGAGCCCCGAAGTCGTGCGCATCTACCTTCCCCCTGATGGTAACTGCCTGCTTTCAGGTAAGATTACTCCTGAAAAATATTCAGAGCCTGTTCGCTAAGAAGCTCGCAGTTATGGATCACTGCTTCCGGTCTGTCAACTACGTGAATGTCATCGTGTCCGACAAGCAGGAGCATCTCCAATACCTCTCCATGGACGCCGCTGTCGTGCACTGCACTAAGGGTATTGGTATCTGGCCTGAATTCAGCACCGACGCCGGCGAGGATCCCGACGTGGTCATGGCCTCATGCGGAGATATCAGCACCCACGAGTCCCTCGCAGCCATCGACCTGCTCCTACAGCACTTCCCAGAGCTCAAGATCCGCTGCGTGAACTGCGTTGATCTCTTCAAGCTGATCCACGCCAGCGACCATCCCCACGGCTTGACCGACAAAGAGTGGGTGAGCCTGTTCACCGACGACACCCCTATCATCTTCAACTTCCACAGCTACCCCTGGATGGTGCACCGCCTGACGTACAAGCGCCCTGGAAGCAAGAACCTGCACGTCCGCGGCTACAAGGAGAAGGGCAACATTGACACTCCTCTTGAGCTGGCCATCCGCAACCAGACGGATCGATTCAGCTTGTCCATCGATGCTATCGACCGGATGCCCAAGCTTCACAACCGTGGCGCTGCTGCTCGAGAGGCTCTGCTGAATGCGCAGATTGAGGCCCGCAACCAGGTGTTCGAGACAGGCATGGATCCTCCTTTCCTGAAGAACTGGACCTGGAAGCGGAATGGCCAGTGGAATAAGGTCGCTGATGGACTTGCTTCTCGATAAAGGTTGAAAGCATTGGGAGATGCTTCAATGCAGGGTGAGGGACCTTAATGACTTTAGATGGTCTGATGGAGAGTGTCACATATCGGGATATCAGATGATAATCATAAGGTGTCTATCATGATCAGCCCATTCTAAAGCCATTATGATCAGCTCTTTCAAAGACCTAGCTTTTCCTTCGTTCAGGTCAGAAGCTAGTTAAAGCTAAAGACCCCGAAGCATCCGGCGTCTCGGCTGTCCGAGGTCATCGTCATTTTCCTTGTCTATAAGACTAACCCAAGACCTTCATTAGATAGGAAGAATATCAAGAGCTTCTCACACACATAATCTTATCCATTCACTTGATGCAACAGAGAGGTTGGTCGAGGGCGTCGGGGAAAGCTGCGTGGCTATCATATGTATGTTATGAACTGCCAATTAATTCAAATTTGATCCCCATGTTGATTTGATTTATTTATTATGACTGTTACACTGCTGGAGCCGTCCGCCGCTACCATCGCCGACCATGTAGATGCCCTGGACGCAGATCCTTGCTGGAACGTTGTTGAACCGACCTCCCGCGGCCTCAGGAGCGAAGCTGGCCTGCCAGATTGAGGAATCCCATGGCGACAGGTAGTTTGGGCCATACTGCCACTCGCTCCAGCCAATCAGATTACACGGACCCATGTCGGCGCCGAGATAGGGGGTGCATACTACCATCCTTCGATATCCGACATTGATTTGCTGGGTGCTGTTTCTAAGGTGTTTGGGACCCTAAGTGTTGCGGCAAGCAAGTCATGTCAAATCTCGTGACTCCGTCGGGTGCCTTTTGGCACAGGGAAATGTACGATCAAATGATGCCAAAATAGGCTGATTGAATTGATGATAATTACGACCTTAATAACGTCGTTATGACTGATAGATTGACTGTGTTGTTGATCATCTTGACCGGTGAGGGATTTCCCTCATCGAATGGCCGCAAGACCTAAATAAAAACCTCAACTACCTCATAGTCCTCTTCTGACAGCTTGTCGTCAATAATAGAAGGCTTTATTAACTTTCTCTTACTCCTTTCCCACGACCTTTCTGCCTTTTTAACAATCTAATTGAACTATCTACGGAGAAGTATGACGGTATAAGAGCGCGAACGAGGTCGGGTGTAGCTTGGGCGAAATGATTGTTTATAAGGGGAAAATGAGATTCGTAAGGAAAACTCTAATCTAAGCTATTTATATAATATTCATAAAATGAGACTATTTATGAAGTATGAAAGTTAAATAATCGTTCCCTTATAGCTTCTACAAGCTGTATAAATAACTGCTTTGGTATCTATATATATAGGATATTTGTCATTCCAGTTAAACTGCTTGACTATACCACATCCTTTCTAGAACTCAAGCTGAGTGTAGGTATAGTAAAAGAGCTTTAAATTCTAATTATTAAAGAAAAGATAGAAAGTTAGCTAAACTTACAAAGTGGGATTTCAGGGGCTGCTAATATAATACCAATTTATTTAACTTACTCCCTTGCTATAGAGGCTGCTAAAACTCCATATAGCCTGGCTCTATTAGTATAGTCCCAGGACTCAATTAACTATTTTATTATATAGACTAAGATATTTAGCAGAATTGAGTAGCTTTTCTAAAATAGCTTAGTCTAGAATAGAAGAAATCTTCTATATCTTTATTAATAAATTAAGTAATAGCTATCTGCTAATAATAGCTTGTCGGCTAATTTTATAAACTATATTATAGACTTACTACTAGCTAAGATAAGATACTAAGCTTATTATTATAGCTTTAATATAAATTAGATTATTAGTAATATCTAAATTAGAATATATATATATATAATATCTACCTCTAGGCCTATTAGAAGTACTTATACTTATTATAGAATATTAAAGCTTAATAAGAAAATCTTAAGTATAGTAATTTATTTAAATTTCTAGAAGCTAGTAGAGTTCTTATAATTCTTAACTATTATATTTAGAAGAGCTAGTATTAGTTAGTATATTATAATTATATAGGCGTAAATATAGTTAATATGTATAATAAGTAAGTATTGTAAATAAGTAAGTATTATACTTGGATTTTCACTTTAAATTGCAATTTTAAAATAATTCTTAAAAACTTAAATTAAGCTT